AACTATCCTCATTATTTTTTGCAAACATTTATTTGATGTACCAACTGGAGCCCCGAATAACATAACATCTAAAATAATACCTTCGGAATTTTCCTTTGTAGACATTTCTTCAAGACAATAATAAATAATTCTAGCTCCTAAACCAAATCCGACTAATGTAACAGGTAACTTATAATTATCTCTTGACAATAATTTTTCAGCAAGTGATTTACCCATTACTTCAGCACTAAAAATTAATCAGTACCTTTAATCAATATAAATTTAGACCACTGCGACCATGTTTCATTGATTGATGCACTAAGGTAAAATTACACAAAAATAAAACGATAACATCGAAAAAATTTAAAATCATTAATACCTCATGCATTTTATTTTCCAATCGGTAATTATAAAATTAGATGAAATGGAAGATTTAATTTCTTTTTTGATTTTATTTACATCACAGTGTAACCTAAAAAAAAAAATTTAACAATTTAAACTACTATATAAATAATACAACAGATTTGCAAAATTATATAAATTTTTTTTACTTAGCATAAGTAATTTTAAAAGAATCAAAAATTCCTTCCCGAAGTTTTTTATCTAAATTTTCATCATATACAAAACTTTTACCATCTAATATACACCCTGGGGCAGCAATTACATGAAGGCATTCATAACTATTATTATTTATATTATCATCAAATTCTAAGACACTTTCTTTTTTCACTCCTGTACAAAAAAAAAATTTTTTTTTTTTTTTTGAAACTAACATAAAATATAGTACACTATACACAATCAAGGATACATTACTTTGTACTGTTCCATAATAATCTGTAGCTATTTCAACTCCATTTGCAAATACAATGCCTGCAATAAAAGGAGTTTTATATTTTATTATCAATTCCAATAAACTTGATGCTACTTTAAAAATGCCAACTGATGAATTCAATTCTTTTTTGCATGAAGAACTCTCAACATTTTTACTATCATCCCTAAAAAAAAATAAATAAACCAATATTTAATTAATAAGAAAATTTTTAAGACATTAAATATTTAAAAAACAGATAAGTTTTATAAATGGTCTTTGAACTTATAATTGTACTCATCTTATAACCATCAATTATGGCATTTTTAAAAACTATCCAAAATATAGGACCAACCTTGTTAAAGACTCATCTGTGCTTTCATGGTTTTTAATTATAAGCTTATTAAAAAATTTTTCCATATAAGAAACCTTTTTAGAAGAAATTTGAAAACAATCCGACATTTCATTGATCAAAACTTTTATTCTAGCATCATAAATTCCTTTAAAAATTAAAATAATATTTAAATTTTATGCTTTAACAAAAAAAAATAAAATAAAATAATTATGATTTAATAAAGTTTAATATTAAATACTACCATTTTCAATAAAAATTTTTAACAGTAACCCTATTGCACACTCTTCAAAATTGTCCAAAGGATATTCTACAAATGTTTTTATTAAAATATCACAATTTACTTCACGTCCTTTCAAAATTTCGTTCAGATTGGCTTTCACCTATTTAATAGTAATAAGTAAAAAAGAAAATATAAATATACATAAATAATCAACAATAAATTTTTTTTTAAACTTAATAATTTAAGTAATTACTCTATCTGTTAAATTTAGAGTTATTATTAATTTTTCGAAGCATTCATTTGTAAAGGACATCCACTCTTTGTAAAAAAGTTTCTTCAGCTTGAAAGTAACAATAAGAGCATAATTATAACGATGTGGAAAAAGCCATTTCAGGAAAATTTCATTTAGATGGCTTAAAATTTGGTCAATATCATAATTAGATTCTTTAACTGTTTTTTCTTGTACAATATTTTCACAATGTTTTTCTCCTTTGAAGCTTTCTAGTATGTTTGCCATATCACACTAACATGTACTTTACAAATTAAGATGAAAATAAAATTTCTTAAAAATAAATATAGATGTATACGGATTGACGAATAAAATATTAAAACTGAAACAATTGAAATGAAACGCAGTTTCTTGAAAACGTTTTTAAAATAATTTTTAAGAAAAATTATTAAATTAGTATTATAAAGTTTCTCTTTAAAGCAACAAGTCGAATGGCATTAAAGTTTTACTTACAATAAAGAGAATTATTCGTAATACTCAATGGTAACAGTCAGAAATTAGGTGTTTTTACATTTATTTATTTTTTTTCCTGTAATAATGTCGCATCAAACTGGTATTAAACGTTAGTATCGATATAAATTTCTAAGGAAAAAATTTTTATATCATATACAAGTTATATTAAGCTTACGTAAATAAAATTTTGGCATTATTAATAAATTATGAAATTATTATTATCTGCAATTTTTATAAGGTTTTAAAATCATTGTAAGTCATTGTTTTTTTAATTTAGTCGTATTTTAATTTTTGTAGCTAATGAAGCTCTGAAAAAATATTTTTGTCAATGCAAAGACGGGAAAACTAGAGCTATTAAAATTTCAATTGAAAATGGTAAGGGTTCTTAAAAAAAAATTTCTTTCAATAAGTTTTAAACTGCATAGTAATGCATTCCTTAAGACACGGTTTAATTAATCATTTAATATTGTTTCAGGAGAATTGATATTGGCTGATAAAAAAAAAGTCAACAAGTCTTGGGATATTGATTTTGAATGCACAATGCAATCTTTTATTGTAGAAAATGAACCTTGTTACATTTTATATAGGTAAAATAATATTTAAAATTATTATAAATGATTTGATTGTAATTTTTTAACACTTAACCATAGTTTTATTAATTTTTAGGTTAGATGTAAAAAGTTCAAATGAATATAACTGGTTGTTTATTATGTGGGTTCCCGATTCATCATCAGTGAGGCAAAAAATGCTGTATGCATCCACCAAAGCTACTTTAAAACAAGAGTTTGGAACAAACTGCATTAAAGATGAATTTTTGGCTACAACCCTAGTAAGATAATATTTTACTTATTGCTGCTTTGTTAAATAGTTCAAAACAAGTTTTTTGTATTGATTTTTTGTATGTATGTATAATTTTAGCAAAAATTTAATCTTAATATTTGAGAATTTTAAAGTACTAACTTTTACAGGATGAAATTACATTACAAGGTTATAAATCATATAAAGAAGATAGAAAAGGTCCAGCTCCATTAACTAATAGAGAAGAAGAAATGAAGGAGATTTTAATTCATCAAAGAGCAAGTGCTAGTGAAATAAATATTGATTCAAAGCAAAAAACATTTTCAGGCATATTATTTCCAATATCAGACAATGCTAAAGAAGCCCTTTTAAAAATTTCAGAGAAAAAAATTGATTATGTTCAATTAGAAATAGGTAAAAAAATAATTATATTATATTTTTTTTTCAATTGCTGCATTAAATTTAAATGCTGACTTATAAGTTGAGCATTTTTTTTTAGATATCGAACAAGAAAAAATTCAACTTGTCGAATGCTGCAAATTAGATGCAATAGATCTCAGCAAAAAAGTGCCAAAAAATTCTGCGAGATACCATTTTTTTTTGTTTAAACATAAATACAATGGTAATAGTTTAGAAAGTTTGATATTTATTTATTCAATGCCCGGTTATGTTTGTACTATTAAAGAAAGAATGCTTTATTCAAGTTGTAAAGGACCTTTATTGGAAACTGCAGAAACTTTAGGTGTTAAAATTGATAAAAAGGTTGAAATATTTTTTTTTTTTAATTAAAATTATTATTTTTTTTTTTTTTTGTATTTTTATACATGAAATAGTATTATTTCAGTTGGAAATAGACTCTGGAGAAGATTTGACAGAAAGTTATCTAATGGATGAAATTCATCCCAAAGAGCATGCTGTTAATCGTGGCTTTGATAAACCAAAAGGACCACCGAATAGAGGAGCAAAAAGATTAATAAAATTGCAAAAATAATGTTTTTAAAATTTAAATAATTTAATATTAAAATTACAAAGATTCAAGTACCCATTGAGTAACATTAACATTATCACACAAAAAAGTATTTAAGATATTTTGCTCATTTTTTAAAATAGTATTAATGGTATTCATTTTTAACATTTACATGATTGTTTTGTAACTGCATTTTTTACTTTTACTAATTGAAGAATATTGTTTTTATAAAATAAATAGTAAGTCTAATAATTGTTTATTTATTATTATTATTATTATTATTGTTATTATTATTGTTTTGAATGTGAATATTTAATTACAATTATTTTTTCTTTGTCTCACCAATGAGTTTTTGCTTATATTTTAAAACTTTTAACCAAATCATTTAATGTTTTGCTTTTTTTACAGGAGGAAAAAAAAACAAAAGAATTATGGGTAAGTAAAAACAATTTAACAAAAGGAAATATAATTTTTAATAATAAAACGGTAAAAAAAATGATTTACGAAAAAATTTAATTCGAAAATTGTTATACATATGTATATTTCTTTGTAATACAAAAAAATTCACAATTCACAATAACAATTAGTAATACCAAAAAAAATAATTTACAATCGAAGTATAATTGATATATATATATCTGCTTTATTTATATAATAAATAATTTCCCAATTTCTATATTACAGTATTACATTCCAAGTAAACATTTCATTTTCTATTAATTAGTTCCGCTAAAATCAAATTTAATTTTTAAAATTTATTGTTTAAACCCAGAATATCATATTTACAGTGTAAAAACAAATATTACAAAATTACCTTTTTACAGATTCTTTAAAATTTTCATATTTAAATTGCATTTTATCTTTTCCATATTGCTGCATCATTACTGATTGTAGTGTTCCATAAAGCATTCCCAAAACACTTCCTAAAATATAAAAAATTTAATATATAATTATAATAAGAGCTGAGTAATTATTAAATTTTTTTAGGGTTGATATTTTAAATTCAAGTATAATGTGTTAAAAAAAAAAAGACAAGGCTAAGTTAAATAGTTATCATTAAGAATAACACTTTTATACCACTAATAACACTTTTATTAACACTATTAAACAGTTATTATTTATTTTTGGCTATACTTATAACTCGAATAAGAATTTTAGTCTTTTAAATTATGGAATGACTTAATTTTTTTAAAAATTATATATTTAACATTACTTACCAATAACACCACCACTTATCATTCCTCTAAAACCATAATTTAGTCTAAATATTGCACCTGTTAAACTTCCTCCTATAATGCTGTCTAAAAGTCCATTTTTGTTTCTGTAAACTTCAATACATGATGTAATCAAACTACAACAAATATAAATGTAAATTTTTTTTTAACGAATAACAAAAAAAAATTAAAATAAATTTTAAATTACTAACGTAAATGTGAAACAAAATAGACCAAAAAGGGGAGCAATCTTCCATGCCCCTTTTAAATATCCAACGAAAGAGTGTCTAATTAATTTCAAATTGGCTTCTCTTGCATCAAGATATTTTAAGCCGTCTTTAGTATTTAAATATTCTTGTGTAGATCTAATAGAATATATTATACCTCCTACAAGAAAACCTAGGAACGTAGTACATTTACAAACATGCAAAGAGTACAATAAATCCGGATGAAGCCCGTAAACGTCGCTAAAAATTTTAAATGTTTTTTTTTTTTATTAAATTCAAAAAAAAAAAAAAAAGGTTTTTAACAAATAAGCATTAAATTTATTATGGGACTATACCTGGCTTTGAAAATACAACGAACTCGTTCCCAATTGTTTTCTAAATCATAACCAAAAACTTTTGTAAAATCATCTATATTATCAGGAGTAACTTCAGAAACTCGAAAAATAAAAAAACCTCCTAATACATATTTGTTTTGTGACCGGTTTAAAAATAAATTTCTCAACCTGTACATTTTAAAAATTATCTTCTGCCACTACATTCACAAAAAACTTTGTCCGCTTTTAAAAATTCCATTGATTTATTTCCTTTTTTTTTTTTTTTTTTTTTTTTTTTTTGATTAACTCTAAAAATAAAAATTATTTGATTTTTAAACTTGACCTCTTATAGTCTTTACCTTTTTTATGCTAAGATATTAAAAAAAAAATTTTTTTTTTTAAAAAACCTAATTTACAATGAAAGGTACCTTTTTACCAAGTTGTTGCATGGTTTGACTTTTTTAAAAATTTATATAATACAATATAAAATTAATTAACGACTTTTTTTTTTTTTTTTAAATAAAATTACGCCTTACTTATCTCTCACTTATGATGCTATCATTTGAAATGCTAGCATTAAAACTTAATTACTGATTTATTTTGTATTAACAATACTTGTTTTATGAGAATAATACCTTAACCCCTACATTTAAATTTTTTAAATAAACCGTATAAATATTTTATGTCTAGAAATAACGGACAAAAATGAAATGGCTACGACAAAAAACAATTTCGATGAGAATAATTCGGATTGGGATAAACTTCCAGATGTAATTTTAGAAATAATATTTTCTTATTTATCCACAAAAGAAAAATATTGGGCGTCACTCA